AATTTAATTTACAGCTAGTTTTAAGAAAATAAATAAATAAATAATTTTTGTAGATCAACAAATAAATAATTTTTAATGTGTGCAAATATAATAAACATTAGAAATGAAAAAAGAATTTTAAAAGTCATATAATAACTACATTACGTCATTACTATGAATTTTTTTTTATTTTTCCTTGAAATTGAAGAGTGTAATTACTTATTTAATTATACTAAATTTTATGGTCAAATAAATATTACTTGAACTTACAAATATGCCAACCTGTATAACTAAGTTGGGTCACAAATCTAATTATGAAGTGGCCTTCCGGACCAGCCCTTAGGTTATGAGAATCATATATATGCTTATACTAAAAAGCTAAGGCGCCTACCTCTTACAGCCTCCTCGTGGGATATAAAAATCTACTTTACTTATTTTAAAATACTAGTACTAGTACTAATACACAATTGTAACAACTGGTCAACTAGTTTGATTTGTTTGAAGAAAAGGAAGAAAAAAAATTCTCGAGGAGAAACCTTTTTGTCAGTCAATGAAGAACTCAAAATACCAAACAATCCCACACGCTTAATAATTAGTGTGCAAATATAATTAAATAAATGAATAAAATATGGTCGACCCTTCAACTATACTTGCATAAAATTCACGTTCTTTTTACAGATTATCTGAATAGGAAAGGCGTAAGAAATATAGGCCTGCTCAACTATATATAATAATTAAGAAAGAAGAAGGTCCCAAACACAACCAGTTGGACCATGAAAAGATAAGGAAAAACAAGACAATCAACAAGCAACACAAGTTGAGGTTTTTGTAGCTCTAGTTGAAGCTTAGATTTCCCCTTGAGTTATCTTCACATATCTAATTCTCTCTCCACCCTACCTATAGCCTAAAAACCAACCAATACAAAAAACAAATAATTTATAACAAAGTACAAACACACATTTTTGAGATTTGTCCTAAACACCCTTTTTATATTTTCTCGTATTAGCATTATTTTTCCCAGATTCAGAGTTCAAGAAAATCTCTCTCCTTTTTATCCTTCAATGGCAAGTTGGGTTTTATCAGAATGTGGTCTTAGACCACTCCCAAGAATCTACCCAAAGCCTAGAACAGGGACAACCACTTTTGCCTCTCACATAAAGTTGAGAATTTCACGTACAGATCTGAGTGGTTCTTCAATTTCTTTGTCCAATATTAATAAAGAGAGGAATTGGGCATTAAGGGTAAGTGCACCACTTAGGATCCAAACTGTCGGAGAAGAGGGAAGTGAGAGAACAACAGATAATAATAATGGTGGTGAGTTTTTTGACCCAGGGACACCCCCACCATTTAAGTTGTCTGATATTAGGGCAGCTATTCCTAAGCATTGTTGGGTCAAGAATCCATGGAAATCTATGAGTTATGTTGTGAGGGATGTTGCTATTGTATTTGGATTGGCAGCTGCGGCTGCTTATTTCAACAATTGGGTTGTTTGGCCTTTGTACTGGTTTGCTCAGAGTACGATGTTTTGGGCTCTCTTTGTTCTTGGTCATGATTGGTAATGCATCTTCTTGATATTTCATCAAAGTTTTGATTTTTATTGTTATTTGGAGCTTAATTTGGTGACCCCATTTTGGTTTTCTTTGTGAATTGTGTATGCAGTGGACATGGAAGTTTTTCAAATAACCACAAGTTGAATAGTGTTGTTGGACATATACTTCATTCTTCAATTCTTGTTCCTTACCATGGATGGTTTGTCTCTTTTCTTGAAAATTATTGAGATTTTTAAGAAGATTATTGTCTAATGTATGGTGTATTTTGTGGTGGATTGTTTTCAGGAGAATAAGCCATAGGACACATCACCAGAACCATGGACACGTTGAGAATGATGAGTCATGGCATCCTGTAAGTTTCAGCATTTTCTAAACACTATTTTATTTGCTTGTTTCATCCTCTGATTCTTTGCTTTCTCAGATACCCGAGAAGATTTACAATAGTTTGGATCTTGCCACAAAGAAATTAAGGTTCACTCTACCCTTTCCCTTGTTGGCATACCCTTTCTATCTGGTGAGTACTTCATAGTATCTTTTATATCCATAATAATTTTGAGTTATTAAGTTTGAATTGGCAAGAAAATTTTGACAGTTTCTTGAATTGGTAATTACAGTGGAGTAGAAGCCCTGGAAAGAAAGGGTCTCACTTTGATCCAAACAGTGATTTGTTTGTTCCAAGTGAGAAGAAAGATGTGATGACTTCAACTCTGTGTTGGACAGCAATGGCTGCATTGCTAGTGGGATTGTCCTTTGTAATGGGTCCTTTCCAAGTGCTTAAGCTCTATGGCATCCCCTATTGGGTTAGTCCATTTTTCAACCTTCCTTTGTTGACACTCATTTTTTCCCCCTTTTTGCCTAACTTTTTGTTTGTTCTTATTGGAGACTTATTATTTGGAATTCAATATTTTGAATGTAGGGCTTTGTCATGTGGCTTGACTTAGTTACCTACTTGCATCACCATGGTCATGATGATAAACTTCCTTGGTACAGAGGAGAGGTATATAAGTTTAATTAGAGTTAAAAATATTATATCTATGTTAATAACATATGTTCTGTCTTTTGAGATTCTTGATGCATAACTTGTCTAATCATGTCTTTTGAGAAATATTAGCTTCTTTATTATTTTATAAAGAAGCCGACTCCTACTTGGTTGGCATTGAGGCGTAGTAATTGTTGTTTTATTAACAAAAAGTTGGGAGTTGACAATTAAGATGTTTCAAACAGGAATGGAGTTATCTTAGAGGAGGGCTTACAACGCTTGATCGCGATTATGGATGGATTAACAACATCCACCATGACATAGGAACACATGTGATACATCATCTCTTCCCTCAAATCCCACACTATCATTTAGTGGAAGCAGTAAGTATCACAATATATATTAAAATGAGTTTTAACTTATATACATCGACAATATAAAGAAAGTAATGGTATTAACATGTATTGATTACTTTTTGAATTTTCAGACTGAAGCAGCTAAGCCAGTGCTAGGGAAGTATTATAAGGAGCCAAAGAAGTCAGGGCCTCTACCATTTTACTTGTTGGGAGTTCTCATAAAGAGTATGAAGCAGGATCACTATGTGAGTGACACTGGTGATATAGTATATTACCAAACTGATCCCCAACTCTCTGGGTCTCAGAAATAGAATCCTATAGTACAATTTAAAAGAAGGTGATTCTTTTTCACTAACACTATGGCCATTGGAAGACCTATTCAAGTTTGTAAACCACAACTATAGTAGCTCCCATTAAAGAATGGAGAAGGCATATAAAGTCTGTAGAAGAGCACAGTTTCAATTGTTGCCATATTGTAATAATTGAGTGGAGATAGAAATTGTCTTCAGGAACCTTATAAGCCTTTTGTGGGGTTGGCCAAGAAAGTATGTTATTTGTATTCTTGATTATGAAATGATTATAGAAAGATACTCTGTCCCACCATTCTTTTGCTGTACGTGGATCCATTAACATCACATTTGAAGGTTAACAGATATTTTTGCCCCAAGAAAGTGAAAGAGAAAAACGAAATTGATTTATAGTATGTTTGGCCAAGTTTCTTTTGAGGCAAAATCCTTTTCTTTTTTTTCTTTTTTTTGTCAAAAGTATTTTTTTTTCTAAAATTAAGGTGTTTACCCAAGCTTTTGAAAGAAAAAGTGCTTTTGAGGAGATCTAAAAACACTTTTTTTAAAAGCACTTTTGAGAAAAATACACTTAGAAGCAGTTTTTTAAAGCTTGGCCAAATACTAATTGCTGCTCAGAAGTGTTTTTTAAATTAATTAGCCAAACACAAATTGTTTCTTGCCAAAAGTATTTTTGAGAAAAACACTTTTGAAAAAAAACGCTTCTCAAAATAAGTTAATTTTTGCAGCTCGGCCAAACGGGCTATTAGACTAGCCAAAAGAAAATGAAGGGTGATTAAGTTGGGGAAAGAAGAAGGAAACAACAAAGGAATGTCACTTTCAATAAAAACGTTATAATCATTTTACATGTCATATTAAAACCCTTAAGCACCAGTAGCATGTTAATTTTAGCTGTAGTTGTTAATTGGTTGTTGTCAAGGTAGTCAATATCCACTCCCTATCATCCAAGTCATGTAAAAATGAGAGAAGTTTCACCCCCATATAGAAGTTGACGTCTTTATAATAACACAAGTTTGAGATGTAAAACAATTGACCGACAGTATGCTATGTCAAATTAGGAAAAGGAATTACAAGAGCCAAAATTGCAGTGATTTAACAATCTGTACCGAGGAATATACTTGTGGACTAGTTATACTATTAACTATTTTGGATGCCATTCCATGCACATATGCAACTGTTGAAATCCACTCCAGGAAATAGTTAATTCACTATGCGAGTGACACTGGGGATGCAGTTATTACTAGGTCGGATTTCCTTTTATAGAAATAAAGTCAACTAAGTTTAGGGAATATGTTAATAGTGTTCTTTAGAGGTTCTCAATGTGTAACTAATTTAATCATATCTTCTTCAATATCAGATCTATTGGTTTGTCCAGAATAACTAAAATATTCATAAAGATAAGCGGTATTATTGAGAGTTGATAATTAAGTAGTATCAAACATATAGTTATCTCGTAAGAGAATTCAAGCTTACAACACTTGATCACGGTTACAGATTGGGCTGTTAGGCAGGAGATACTTTATACTACCAACAATCAGACCATTGAAAGACTCATTCTGGCTTCGGCTAATCGAAAGTTCCTGTTAAAGAATGGGGGAAGGCATATAAATTGTGGAATAGCAGTTTCAGTTGTTGCCACATGATTGATATATTTTTCTTACACAATGTAATGTAGTAATAATTGATAGGAAGTAACAAAGTAGCTAAAATGCCTCTTCGGTTTGCCCAAGAAAGTTTAAGTATCACATATTTTATCACGCCATCATTGCCACAATAACGGGACTAAATTCATTAAGACAAGCCAATTAGGTGAAAAAAGGAATGAAACCTGCAATAGAATTTTACTTTATGAGTTCATTAGTTGTCGTCAACGTAGTCAATCCATCTTCTGTCAAACAAATCACGCTTATAGCCCATCAATTGAACTACACAAGGGAAGTTTTTTCTCCTACAAAGACATTGATGTTTTTCTAGTAACACAAACTTTATGTATCATGATATATTAGTTTTGGCCTACAATAATTAGTGCAATAAATTACAAGAGGACCAGCACCAACATTGCAGTTGATTTAAGAATCTGCACTGGGGAATTTGCCTCAATGGTAGCTAGTCAATATTAACTACAGCCGTACAGATTTCACTGCATTCATGAACGATAGTATCCGTGACTCATCCTTTTGGATGCCGTCCTGTCCGCATATGCCACTACTCACATCCACTCCATTGGGTTTAAGAGCAGAAAGAGCTTCACAAACATTCTCCGGGTTAATTCCTCCTGCCAAGAGCCACCCATGTTTGCTTCTAATTGGCGGCAGCTTAAACTGAGCCCAGTTGAATCCTTTGCCACTGCAAAAGTGAGCTACTACTTAGTATATGGAGAGCAAGTGAAAATTGGTAACTGGTGATTTTGCAAAAGTAAAATTCAGCTGCCTAGACCTAACTCATATCAATTGCAACATTCATCAGTTGTCATCTATAGAAAGCACATAGATAGGTAGATAACAAACTTTATTTCTTAATTTAGAGTCCACCACTTACTAAGACTTTGCTGAGAATTCAACTTCTCAAAAATTATCATTCTCCTCATTGCTACTATTCATATTCTTCTTCTAACTACAATGTCACTCTTAGTTGGTTGATTCCTTTTGCATCAGAAGACTCAGTTGCTTGGTCATGCTAAAGTTACAAAACAAGTTTGATTTGGTCTGAAAGAATTCAAGCAAGTTTAGCAATACCAACAGAAATAGAATTATGTCTTTGTTGATTAGCTAGATATCACCTGTCCTTTACATTATCCATGCAAAATAAACATAGTTGGAAAGAGACAGTGAATGATTTCATACGTAGCCATGACAGGTTTATGCAAGGAGAATCAATACCTGCCACCTTTTGCACTATCCACTAGAACCCAATCAACCAGAGAAGACTCCTCATCAGAAATATAGTTCAAAAGGCCTCCCTCTTCATTTGCATGAAGTACGTATATTACACGTTTTTCCCTGACCAAAACTGGAAAAGCATCTCGAGAACCATTTCCATGAAGCTGCTCAATTTGCAACATGTGGATTTTGAGGAATTGGAAACAAGAAATTAAAGATGGTGAAAATGACAGTTCCCCACCTGCACAAATTCAAGGTCTGCTGCATCAGAGGCTTTTAGTATTGTGTCAGCATTATCGTCTACAAACACCCCAACTGGCTCAGCTCCATATTCCCGTGCAACCTTGGAAATCTCTTTTGCAGTAGAAAGTGAAATAGAACGTTTTGAGTTAGGCCATATGATCATACCAATAAAATTGGCTCCAGCTTCTGCTGCAAGAGCAGCATCTCTAGCTGATGTAATTCCACACATTTTGACTAAAGTCCTACTTTTTATTTGCTCTGCTTGAGCCGAAACCCCTGCTGACTGATTTAAGGTGCACATCAATCTGTTCCTAGCAGAAGTCTTCAGTCGTGTCCTATTTGCAGAATATACTTCTACACTCAATAGACCTGTAAAAATGAAGATTTTGCAAAAGAATGATGACATCATTTTATACTTCAACCATAACTCTGAACCAGTTAAAAAGAATCTTAAGGAAATATCATAATAAGTTACTTTTAAAACACCTATCAAGTGCACATTTGCATCTTTCCACGTACCGGTAATAAGCAAAGGTCAGAAAGGAAAACTTTTCTACGTAAGATTAAAAAATCAAGAAAAATGAATCAGTGGAAAAGCAAGAGATCCAAAACCAACGCTTTAACTCCAGAATAATATATGGTGTAAGCTTCCTACCCCAGTACTTGTTGGCATCTCTCTTTTGCTTCTGTGAAAAATCTTAAAGGAGAAATAGAATAAGTAGTAGCTGTGGTGATCAATCATTGGCTTTCACATCACGTGGTTTCTTTAGAGATCACAAGTCCTGACTTATTATCTTCTTAAACTACGGATTATTTCTTAAAAGAGTTACTTTCTTTCTTCTTGTTTCGGGATACTATAAGTGCAAAGAATGCCCATGTGATCCAGACTTTCACTCACCTTGGCTTCTGCGAATGCCTATTACTCTTGGTTGAAGCTGAGTTCCCACGTTGAATACTGAAAAAGACAGAACTATGGCTTAGACTAAGTAAATAGTGAAATTAACCGACACGATGCTATATACTCTTATGACACTCATGCAAATTATTAAATAAAAAGGGCATTAGAATTGAAAGAAGTAGATCTTTGAGGACATTAAACAAATTTTAGCTGCCGAATAAGAGCTCAAGGAAAAAATAAATGGCATGTCTACTGGGCTTACTCTAGTTTCCTTGTTTGTATAGATATAGGAAGAGCTTTTAGGGTGATGATATGCAGATCCAAAGCTCTTTGGCACACTTATTTTCTGGTGCACACTGCACGGAGGAACACCCTACATCTCTTTAATCTAAAACCTATTAGTCTCTGGATGAGATGACACTTATATAGCTTGATAGTTTGGAGTTCTGGCTATTGCGTCTCATACACAGTGACACACCCCGTGTGCTCAGCCCTCTTAAGAAAGGTGTAAGTACTATGTATGAAGAAGGATAAGCAGAGAAGTTATTGAAGAACCTGAGAGCATCTTTTCTTCCTAATTCCGTTCTACCACTGTGCTATGCGCGAGAGAAGGAGAGATGCCGTAAAATAGTCCTGCTACTCATCAAATAAAAAAACAGGTCAAACAGAGGAATTGCAAACACGTTCTAATAACTAGACTAGTCATCCGATACTATCTATTAAACAAAAAAAACTCTTCAAAACTGGTAAGCACCTAAATGCAAAACCTGCAAAGAAACATACACCAACAAATCATGGATATATCAAGAACATTTCACTACATGATTGAATTCTAGAATAAGTACAAAACAAATACTCCCTCCATTTCAAAAATAATGAACCTATTTCCTTTTCAGTTAGTTTAAAAAAGAATGACCTCTTTCTAAATTTGGAAAGAATGTAGCTTTAAACTTCTCATTTTCCCTTAATAAGTTGATTTAAAGCCACAGAAATATCTATGGATTGTTTTGGACCACAGGTTTCAAAAGTCTTCTCTTTTTTCTTAAACTACGCGTCCGGTCAAATAGGTTCAAACAAATTGAAATGGAGGGAGTATAAACAAAGGATATCTTATGTCTGTTTGGAATCTAAATTCTTTACAGGAACGGAATAGAAGATTCAAATGTATGAGGCCATCAATAAGCCAAAATGGGTTTCCTATCTTTGAGTAATTCAAAAGGGTAATATCAAATGGAAGGGTCTGGTATATTTGGATGTCTGTAGAGTTCAATCCACTAGAAGTAATCTAATCGACCTCATACAATTGTGTCGGCTCACAGTACTTATGAAAATCACACTTTAGGAATCAAAACAGGTTTAGCCATTTAAACAAGCCATGATCCAACATACCCAAAATTTGTGTGAATCAAAAGGTTGCTTAAGACGAATAATGGGGAAATTTCTTTGCAGAAATACTAAGAAAGTAATAACTTGCTGTCAAAATTTCACTTAAATAGTGTTGGTCAAGGTTAAAAGGTTCAAGAAAGGCATAATATTCTGAAACAGTACCAATCAAAACACATTTAGATTATAGAGCAAATGATCAACCAAACGATTACAATCGGAATCAAACAACTGAAAGCTTAAACAAACAGGGAAGAAGGAGGTGAACATAGGAGATGAGAATAAAAGAAATTTCTATAACTTCTTGCCTACTTTTTCCTTCCAGTTTCTAGTTACTTATATTAACTCCCAGCACCTTCCTTGCCCTTCATGTAATTTGCCAGAGTCACAACAAAATCGGTTAGCTTCTTTGGCACAGTCCTCACACACATGCTCCTTCTTGACGCCTCTTTCTGGACATCTAGGTTGGCATCTTCCTTGTCCAACTCACCCTCCAGCTCAGTAGGCTCTGGGTGCACAACATTATCCGCTAAACAATAGGTGCCTAACCCCTCCAACATAATACTAAAATTCTTATGTGTCTATTTTTCTCCAAATTGTAACTGTACGAATTGCTACATATATCCCAAACCTTTCTCCTCCCTCCATTCATTGATAGCCATTCACCATAATAACTACTATTTGAATAACCAGTCAAATTTTAAAATGCTCTAATAATTGACAAAATAACCATTCATTAGCCACAAATTCTGCAATTACAACTTAAAATAGAGTACGCTGCTTTACCAAATACCTACGGCAACTAATTTACATCTTGATTCAAGTAGCCAAGTTGCAATCTAGAAGTTTTAACTATAATACAAACCACACAAAATAACAAAAAAGCACTTTCTCCCAAATTTCAGATCCAACTAAACAAGCAGAAAGAGATACACATTCAATGAAAACTTCCGCAGTAAAAAAGAGGAGACATGGAACGCACAAAATAACAGCTTCAAATGCACCATCCATAAGAAGATAATACATACATATCCTAATTGGATGAATGCAATTTGACAGTTACTTCAGAAATTTTAATTTTGAATTGCGTGAGAAATTCTATGAAATGCTTTTTTTAACTTCTGGAACGTGGCTTTTAGGGAATCAAATCACGCTAACGCAACAAAATAAACCGATTTAAAGTTGATTACCTTGGACTTGGAGTTGATATGTTCTTCAGCTGACAATTGGGGCTTTTGTTTCCTCATGGTTTGCTTCAAATTTCACCTTCAATTGCTTCAAATTCGTAGATTAGGGCTTCGATTTGCTTGGTATCTGCTTCAAATCTGGTCGCAGAACCATCAGATTTTGAAGTTGCTTTGAAACTCTAATTTGGAGTAGGAATTAGCGATTAACTCAGTTTTTTTTTTCTTTTTTTCCCTAACTAGTGTAGAACCCGCGCGGATAATTTGACAGAATATTAATCTTATAAAATTATGATCTAATATATCATATTATTTTAATAAATATTAGTTGTATTTTGCTATTTAATATAGTGTGCAGAAATGTAATAAAATCTATACAAATCAAAGAATACACATCATATAGTAATCAAATAAATTGTTTGTTCCTTATTTATTTTTATTATTAAATTAGCAAGTACTTAGTACTATACATTTACTAATGTGATTTTTTATTACCTTGTCAATTGGCTTAATATTTTGATACTACTTCTCTTTTAATATAACATAGATATATATTTTCTTACTCTGGAAATATTTTTCTTTTTAAACTTATGTTATACTGTTCAAAACTCTTCAATTGTCTAAATTGATTGATAATTTTTTTGAGTGTTATTTATTTATCTTTTATTTTAATTTATTAAAATATAAATATCATTAAATTATCTTTATCCCCCTCTTTTCGTACATTCTTTCATATTGTAATATTTGTTTAGTTTTCTCATTTTGTAGTTGTCACATCTCCTTTTTACGGGAAAAGGAGTTATTCCAAATTAAGTGACATTATTGAAATGGGATTAATTTATTTTTGATTTTAAGAGTCGCCACTTGGAATATTTATTTACGGTGTCCCAAGTCACCATTTATTCTAAATCCCAGATCAAGAAAAATTTTGACTCTGATAAAGTCTACAAAACACAGAAGATCGAGTAAGGAATTTTGTTAACCCGGGAGAAGGTGTGAGGCACTCCCGGATTCCATGGTTTTAGCACGGTCTCTTTACAATTAAACTCGACTTAATTATCCGATTATTACGTGTTCTAAACCTATGTGCATTTTACCCTTTTACCGCTTTTATTGTATATTTAAACCATTTTAGTGTTTATGGAATTACTTTAAAACAAGTTACGATGTCGTACACTTGTTGTTTTATACACATCGCAAATCATGCCACGTGAAACGCAACCGCAATTTACTACATGTTTTAATTTTATTGTTACTTTGAAGTTACGAGATCAAGGCAAGCGAGCGCACACTCGAATTTGGGATTAAGTGTCAAAGTTATGCCACGGGAACCGTACCCATAACCATGACAAATTGTTAATTAAAGCGCATCCAAAGCAACTAGCGATGTTCATAAGTTATTTTCCTAAACTAATTTAAGATTGTTGTGAGGTCAAGAGTTATGGATATAGAGTTGTGGGGAGTCAATAGCCCTTTAAATTATTAACAAGTTACTTTGAATTACCGAAGAATCATTGGAATTACTAGAATTGTTTCAATAGTTATCTGTGGCCACCCTTGATTTTTCATATTCATTTAACTATAACTCACTTAAGTTAATGAAGTCGGCAAATTAAAACAATACTTAGTAGTTACAGTATACTAAAGGAAACAAATAACTTACGAATTACTAAATCCAATCTTATTGCATTGTCAGTTCTTCTTACCATGAAAAGTAATATGGACCAGTTCATTGACTTTATCTTGAGCATGTCAGTCCGAATTAATTTGACTCAAACGTTCTCAAACAACTTCAGTGGCCCGATTATTGCCTCAAAAGTCTATATTCCATATTTACTCTATTCCTACAGTTTCCAAATTCTACCGTCATACTTTTAACACGATATACCAGGACAAACATGATATTCATATAAGCATAAAGACTATCATGACCATCTAAAACAAAATGTCATGTATTAACCAAGAACAAGATAAGCTTATGTAGTGTTTTGCGGGCTAGATTTCGGGGCTGATTTGTTGCGTTTTTTAGCTGGAGTTTCCAGCTAGTTTTCATGGATTTTCAGGTGGGTTTAAGGCTGATTTTCATGGCTTTGGGGGGCTGGTTTTGGGATGTTTTCAGGTGGAAAAGAGGCAGCGTTTTGGACTATTTTGCTCGCATCTAGTGGCTGCGTTTCTGCTGCTTGTTATGGCTAGATTTTGGAGTGGTTTAAGAACTGACTTTCATGGCTGAAAAATGGAGTTTTTGTGGCTGATTTTCAACAGTAACGCATCTGCTTTGGGGCTAATTTTGCAGCAACTATGGGGGTTGTGTTGTTGGTGTTAGAATGGAACTTTGTTGGATCGTTAACGTGCTGGACTGAAGAACAACTCATGGATCAGTTCAAACTTGACAGAATATTAACAAGACTAAAATGCGAAACTGTTCCTACGGACGAAGCCCAAATTCAAATTCACACCACCAATTCGTTACAGCACAATCATGACCTTCAAATTTATAGTAATAACCTCTTCAATTACATTTTAATAATTGATTACATAACTGAACTAGAATAGAAATGATGTTTGAACTCGTTGACAGTATCTTAACCTCAAATCTGCATACAATAGCTTAACAGCAGCATATGAACTACTCTTGGAGCCCATCTTTTGGCTTTGACATTACAAATCTAACCAATCAAAGGCTAGGTCCGCGAATTTAGGCCATATACACAGTAAACTAACTCCGTAACCACA